CGTGTAAACTGATATATATATATATAGAGTGGCAGCAGCTAGCAGTGCGCACTCCGACTGCGAACCTGTCCGAAGAACTGTCTAGCCGTACACGGTATACAAATGAATCGCACGACCCTGGCCCGATCGGAAGTAAACGGTCACTCCTTTGTCAGTCTTTGCTTTGTTGCATCCGTCATCGCGAGACTTTTGAGGTTCACAACTACGACCTGCGTAGCATGTTTGAAGCTCCCGATATGCACGGATTGAAGGCACAGCCCTTGGTGGTCTGCGAGTCTGATGCTGTTCAGAGGCACACAAGACCGGCACAGATGCCAGGTACGCTCCTTCACCATTGCTCAACTCGTACATCAAGAGATGTTTCTGCTCTCAGAGACAAAGGTGACATCATGTGACATCCGACTCATTGCCCGACTGTGGCCCGACCAATGGAGATTATCAGGACACAACGAATAGCAAAAGTGCTGCAGAGTTGTGAAGTAGCTGGGCTTCTCAAAATCCGTGCAGCTTCAGGCCTGACCTTTCTGCCCATTTGGCTGAGCATATGCAAAACTCTCTGAGTGGGTAACTCAGACTTTGACTGGAGCTCCAAGGGGCGCCCTCCGAGTGAGAATTTTGCTCTAGGTCTGCTCTTCACGGAGTGGCTGCCTGGCGCTCTGCACTCTGGACTTCACTTGTGGCAGGTTTGCCGGTGACGACAGGGTTTGACATGAAGCAAGTGCAAAATCCCTGCCAGCGTCGAGGCTGACTCTGTTCGCAGGGAGCATGCCCCTGACACCCCTTGCATCCGGCTCGGCGTTTTTGCTTGGGATCACTTGACATGTTGCGTGTAGCAGTGTGTAGCACCATAGAGTTTAACACTTCCGAGTTGCTCAAAGGCGATCCTGTGGGATCACTTCTTCCAGGAAGGTGAGGGCCCAGTACATGCCAGATGGGTTGCTGTCGTCTGCTTCAAGGGTAGAATTTGTGTGCGGCTTGCATGGCAAGCAAGTAGGGTGGGCTCAAGTTGATTGCAGACCCAACACGAAAACAGCACCCGAAGCTAATCAAAGTCCGTAGACTCCATAGACTCTAGCCCTGGAAGCAACCGGCCGCTTGAAGGTTTATACGTAGGCTCACTGTGCGCCATGGCCTTTGTCAAGACGCACAGGGAAGAAACCACGCGAAGAGTTCAAGGCCAAATCTGCTGTGTGCTTCCAGCCAACGTGTGCAAACACGTGGTTTTTGACTCCCGAGCGTGTGCGTTTGTGCGTGTGTGTGTGGGTGTTGGTTGCCAGGGTATAGCGGTTTGGCGGACAAGCATCTTGCGGCCTGGCAGGTCCAGACTTTGCAGCACGCAACTCGGCTGCACCCTGGTATGCCCCCGCAAAGCCTTGATCGTGTGAGTCCGTATGAGCAGGTCCCATGACACCAGACATTCAAGTCTCAAGGCGCAGCAACACAACACGGCTTGCTCTCCACGTCCTGGCAAGTCAGCCATGCCGTTCCTGCGACTGCTGTGCCTCGGCACAGCCATGGCTGCCATGGAAGCAGATGTACTTGCACAGGAAAGCTGTCGGTCGCAAGAAACTCGATGTCCTGACAAGGGTCTGTCGTGGCTGCAGCTGAAAGATGATGTGAAATCTCGTGCCAGCCGGGCTTCTGAGCTTGGAGAAGCTCAAGCAGTCAGCGATGGATGTTGCAGCTCTTTCGACACTTGGCCGGACGTCGACAATGGTGTCACTTGTGCCGACTGCATGGCCCTGGTGCTCACCGCCCCTTACAACGGCCGTTGTGACAGGTACTGTGAGAGCTTTGGGCACGTGTGCGTGGCAGCAGCGGAGGAGAAGGCGGAAAGTTGCGAGGAGCAGTACACACAACCCTGCAATCAAGCCATTTCCGGGACATCGGACATGCTGTGCAAGTGCGTCAAGCCAGATGCACCGGCCTCCTGCCCTGCTCCTCCACCAGAAAGCTCGTGCTGCAGCGCGTTCAGCAGGTGGCCGGATGTGGACAATGGCGTCACCTGTACAAACTGCATGGCCCTGGTGCTCACCGCGCCTTACAACGGCCGTTGTGACAAGTACTGCGAGAGCTTTGGGCACGTGTGCGTGGCAGCAGCGGAGGAGAAGGCGGAAAGCTGCGAGGAGCAGTACACACAACCCTGTGATCAAGCCATTTCCGGGACATCGGACATGCTGTGCAAGTGCGTCTTGCCAGATGCACCGGCCTCCTGCCCTGCTCCTCCTACAACTACAACTACGACGATGAGCACATCCACCACAGGACCACCAGCCACAGAGGCATGTTGCAGCTCTTTCGACACTTGGCCGGACGTCGACAATGGTGTCACTTGTGCCGACTGCATGGCCCTGGTGCTCACCGCCCCTTACAACGGCCGTTGTGACAGGTACTGTGAGAGCTTTGGGCACGTGTGCGTGGCAGCAGCGGAGGAGAAGGCGGAAAGTTGCGAGGAGCAGTACACACAACCCTGCAATCAAGCCATTTCCGGGACATCGGACATGCTGTGCAAGTGCGTCAAGCCAGATGCACCGGCCTCCTGCCCTGCTCCTCCGGCTACCACTGCTCCGCCCACACCGTCTCCGAACAGAAGGATTCAGGTTGTCGGAAAGCAGCTGCTCGTCGACGGCAAGCCGATCCACATGAAGGGAGTTGCATGGAACCCGGTGCCGAAGGGCGGCTCCCACCCGCGCGATCTAGACTTCGCTGGCCTTGTTGAGCAGGACGCGGCGCTGATGCAGCGCATGGGAGTCAATGCTATCAGGACCTACGAAGCGATCACAGACATTAAGGTACTGGACACGCTCTGGAGCAAAGGGATTTGGGTCGTGAACAGTGTCTACAATTATGGTGGATCGTCGGCAAACTCGGCGGCAGAGGCCGTACGAGCCACAAAGGATCATCCGGCCATCCTGATGTGGAGTATCGGGAACGAATGGAATTACAACGGCCTGTATGTGGGCATGAGTTTCCGCGACTGCATTGCTCGTGTCCGGGAAGTTGCTGAGATTGTGAGAAGTGTTGACTCTGAACACCCCATCTCGTCGATCTATGGAGAAGTCGTCGGCAAATTTGATGAGGCCGTTGACCAGCTTCGGGATGAGATTGACATTTGGGGTATCAACACATATCGGGGCATCAGCTTCGGCAGCATGTTCAGTCAATACGAAAGAGTCTCTGACAAACCCATGTATTTGGGAGAGTACGGAGCTGATGCTTTTAATGCGGAGATCAGCCGAGAAGATCCTGAATCCCAGGCGAGGGCCACTCGGGAGCTCACGGAGGAGATCATCAGCGAGTCCTCCGTGGTCGGGCCCGGTGCTTGCATTGGAGGATTTGTTTTCGAGTTTGCGGACGAGTGGTGGAAGGATGGTAGTGGCAGCCCCAGGGTCCATGACACCGGCGGGATTGCACCAGGTGGTGGACCCTACCCAGACAAGACCTTCAATGAAGAGTGGTGGGGCCTGGTCACGGTCGATCGGGAGCCACGACAGGCCTTCGATGAGTACGCCAAGACGGCTTTGCCGCAAGCTTTGGCACAAGGTTCAGTCACTTCAGTCCTTACAGGCTGAAGCAGAGGAGCAGGCCACAGGCGATGCTTTCCTGAATGTCACCTGCAATTTTTGCACCCTGTCTAATCCAAGTGCTCTAGTTGAGCAGGAAATCATTGCTAAGGCCTGTTACATGTACAGTTCGAGGTTTAGCAGAGATCGCGACACGATCTTGGCATTTTTGGGTGCGAGGCAGTGCCGACACCCGGGTACACCAGGGCTCGGCCTGTTTTTCTTGACCAGGGGCTTTTCAGCGACCTTTCGCAACAAGCCCATAGCACGGCCCTTCAAAGCGGAAAGCCCAATTCATTGCAAACTCACGCAGCAACATGCTGCACGGCTTTGCACGAACTGTGCAAAGGCCTTCTGCGGCCAAGGCATCCCTTGCTCAAGCCACGTGTCAACAACGTTATGGAAGGTGGATTATGGTAGATGTCCACGAAATGGTCGCGGCCGTGAGCAGGGCACAGGCCGTTACAGACTGTGCCGCCGGTTATTACAACCACGCAGCACTGGAAATTTGCGCGGCGTTGCTTCCGGCAAATGCTGCACATGCATGGATGCGAGATCCAAGAAGTCCAGTCTGGACGAACTGTTCGGCAGGAGTTCGTGGTTCGGCACAGTTGCATATTTATGCAGACCCCTTTTGAATGGTGCCCCACAGCGCAGGATAAAATAGCTGATGCGCCCGTTCTGGATGTGTGTGAAAACTTGATGCAATCAGCCTGAGAGGCTCGAGGAAGAATCACAACAACCGTTTCTAATCAACTGATAGGAGGATTAATGGTGATCGCTGTCAACCGAAGGTTTTGATGCTCGGCTCGATTTCCTGGAAGAAGCCTTGACTGCCTTTCAGGCCTGATGCCTCTCTTGCTGTGAACTCTGATTTGCACAGACGATGGCACCGTGGTGCCGACATTCGCAGCACCACTGTCCCAGGCACAGGTGGAACAAAAGCAAAACGCCTCCAGACACTTGCTGAACATGAACATCGACAGTGTTCGGCGGGAGCTGGAAGCAGCAGCACGAGCCATCCAGCAGAAGGACCACACCGAGCTTTTGCAACAAGCATCTTGGGGGCAATTCTGCTCGAGAGCATTCATGGAACAAGGACCGGGGAGCCTTGTTGCACTTGCTGTCACTTCTGAGGCAGAGGCCGTGGCAGCCAGCTCGGCCACAAAGGCTGTCCGAGAGTCGCTGCACGAGGCAGCCCATGGTGAAAGGTCTAGCTTGCAAAACGCTCTTCGGGGATTGAGGTCAGTAAGGTCCCTGTGTGTCAGGAGATGGCGGGTATCACGCGCAAGATAACCGCGATAAGTGGCTCAGCTTGATGAGCTGGGCTCTGTGGCTACGGCACATGTGTTCGCAGACTCAGGCGATACCTTGGATGAGCGCCTCCGAATCATGGAGGATAGGCTCAAATCAATGGACAAACGCCTTGGCAAATCCGTGGAAGAATTCTACCACCAAGTAGAAGACTTGGAACACCGCTTCGCAAACGAAACTTGGATCCAATAAGCGCCGATAAAGTCATCTCTCAGCTTATGGCTCACCAGTGTTAATACATCAAGACTGCTTCTGCATGTTGCCGAGTGCATTGATATGGCACATGCTCCTGTGTGAACGCTAGACGACTTAAGGCTAATGAGACAACAAGGCATCTGCCTGTAAGCTGACATTCTGGTCCGATTTTGGAGTATCTTTGCCGGAACCACGAAGGTGAGCTTCTTAACAGAGAAGAGCCCAGGAGTCCATGACAGTCAGATGTTGCCTGCGAGGCGGTAGAGAAGAACCCCAAAAAGTCGAAAGTGCTGAAGATGTGGACGAAACACGGAACACTGTATAGTTGGCGGAAGCGCTAGTAAGCTGTCCCTTCCGATGTGGGTTTTGCCGAGGTGCTGTGCTTCATCCTATTTTAATGGCATGCCCTGCCGGCACGAGGAAACACAAGCATCGCCTGAAGGCTACCATGCAATCTAGGTGAACATGTTTGGGAGTAGCTGCATGCCAGTCATTTTGTAAGGACGAGAGCAAGCTGGACCCGACCGTGGCAGCACTGATCCCCAAGCTTGTCCAGAGCTGGGGTGAGGGACGATTCACCTCGCAGGCTGACATGGCGAAGTGGATCGAGGGCAAGTTCGACAACCTTGAAGCTGACCTGTCCGGAGACATGCGAGGCTTAAAAGTTGAGATTCAGGAGCTGCTCAAGAATGCGAACAAAAACATGAGCCAGCGAATGGACCAACTCGTTTCGGAGTGCGTGGAAAACAAGATAACTCCTGTCGAGAACCAGCTGACATCCATGGAGATGATGCTCAGGAGATGTGGGGACCACCGTTTTCCAAAATTTTCCAAGCA